GGATTTGCTATGAAATAGTCGATTAGAAAAATATTCATAGAAAGTACAAAATTTTATTTTAAAATATAAGTTTACTTCTAGTAATCTTTTTTAAAAAACTTATAAAATTTTTTTTAATTGGTTTTTTTATAAGTTTTTAAAAATGATTACGGCCCGTCAAAAATGTGTAAATTTCTTTTCATTTTTCATTTCAACCTTTGGAAGTAAAGTCTGGTGATCCAGAGCCCTTTAAAAAGGCTGTGGTGAAATAATTTATTACATGGAACCTTAAAGTGGTCTGTTTTTATTCAAACATATTTGCTCTGAATTAAGCTCTTCGGATATCATCCTCCTTGGATCTACCCACACGGATTATCTAGTTTTGCATAAACTAATATATATACACACACACACACACATATATATATATATATATATATATATATTAGAAAATCACTACAAAATATTCATTTTGTTTCAACACTTCTAGTGTCTTATCAAGTGATAATTGTTGAATGTAGAATAAAACCTTTATTCTACATTCAACATATATATATATATATATATATATATATATATATATATATATATATATTTGAATAAACTTATATTATATATTCACATACATATATGTGTAAACATGCATATCTCTCTCTCTCTCCATATCTATGTCATTATACATATATATACATGCACGTAGAGAACTCATTGTATAAAGCGACTGCTAGTCGGTCAGTCCCGTAAGCCATGGCTCGCGAGGTCGATCCTCATTGAGTGACCTCTTTACTATTGTGATTCTGTGTCCTGATTAAGTTGAATTTTGCAAATGCCTGTAGTCTAGAGCGATCATTAGTGATCTCTTTGGCCAGATAATAAAATATTCATATATATATATATTTACCTAAACACGCATGTAAGCACACACACATCATATGGGTACGCGCACACACACAAATAGTTTATCATTATTTTTTACGATATCAGGCAATATTTTTTTAAGCTCTACTAAACGGAACTTTCATTGAGATCATTAACAAATATTACATTTTGTTTACTGAAAGGCTGATAAAAATATTCCATATTTGGGTGTTTAATCTAATGCACGGTGCTACGGAGATTTCCTGGGTGTGGACTGTGGGGTGTCACTTTTCTGCAAAGAAAAAAGAACAAGCCAAAAGCGAACTATGAAAAATCAAGTGTTCTTTTTATACTCAATGTATGACAATTCTATTTAGATGAGCTGTATCATTTGTTGAAAGATCATTAATGCCATTAGATTGTAAGATAACTCAGAAAACTGCATCTTATCTGTTTTTAGAAACAATAACTTCTAAAACTTAAGTAAGGGAAAATCTAGGTTATATTCCCGAAAATAAGTACATGCAGAAAAAAAACAAACAAACCAAAAACAAACAAAAACCCCAAAAAACAAAATGAGCTTTTAAACAAAAAAGATGTTTTCAGTAGAATAATAGTTGTGAAAATATTCATTTTTTTATGAGAGAATCTGATAAAACATATAGAATCAGGAATCTTTAAAAACTTCACCTCTGATCTACCGCACTTGAAACTTTTAACATCAGATTTAAGACACCCCCTTCCATCTTTTTTTTTCTTCTTATGGCGTCGTGCTTGCGTGGTGAGTGAAATATCACGTATCTGACATCATCGCGCGCCTCAAGTCTGTGTGACTTATCTCGGTTAATAATACTGATGTAAAAAGCAGACAATCCTTCCTTACATGGAAGACTGATGCAGTTTTTCTTCTTCCCACCCAGCCGCCTGTGGATGTTCTTAGTTAACACCTATCAAGATATCTTCTACAATGTACAGTGTACACACTGTACAGTAATTCATCCATAAAAGCCAAATTCTATCACGCTGTCCGTTTTATCAGTAAAGTGCCAGTTACTTCCCCTTAGTCCACGTTTCATTTTGTTACATGCCAAATTAAAATTTGTTACAAATAATTCTTTTTGCTCTTACTGTTTATTTACCTCTTTCACTTATCACTTGGAAAAATTCAAGAGAAAGTAATTTAACATTTTTCATCTTTCAGTTTTGCATGCAAACCGAATCTTTTTTTCCTTGCATTTTTTTACTATTTTATATTACTACAATGTACATTGTTTGTACAATGTGTTTTTCGACAATTTTTCCTTCGACCGTTATTAAACTGTATTAAGAAAAAAAATGTAATGAAATTTGCCCCAAAATATGAGGAATATTAAAACTAATTCATTTCAGAATCTGAAAAAAACAAAAATGATTTCAGACAATTTTACACCAATTTCTGGCGAGTTCAAGGGGAAAAAAAAGTTCAATAATTTTCTCATGAAATAATTTTGCTTTATCCGAGAAATGGGAATTCTGGTGAAACTGGTCTGGATTCTTTACTTGGCAATGACATTTCTTTCCCTGATACCATTCTTATCTACAATACTTTTATCTTTTTATTTCTCAATTTCGACATTTTCCTTTCTTTCACTACAAATGTGTCATTATATAAAACACACACACACACACACACACACACACACACACACACACACACACACAAGCGTAATAATTCCCAACATGAAAGCATTATTTTTTTCAAAAATTAGATTCGAAAATTACCCTGTGTTCTTTCAATGAAAAGTTAATTCTTTTTAAAATTTTACTTAAATTTAATTCCCCCCCTTAATTTGCAACATGACATTCAACGGAATATATTGAGTAAAAATACATATTAAAAATTTTCACAGACGTGACATGGCTTCCCTCTGTCTTTTCTACAAATATTTTCATGGCATCTGCTCTGACGAGCTTTTTTTCCCCCTAGTCCCCCGACTACATAAATTTAAGCGTGCTACTAGATTGGGTATCTAGCTCCCACCCCATTATTGCTGAAATTGTTAAACTCCCTTTCTCTTACTTTGTTACTTGATAACTACAATCTTCAACAATTTAAATGTAGCGTCAATCGTCATCTTCTGATGCCTTGATCCCCGTTTTTCTTTTTATCCTTTCTTCATTCCCCCCTCCCACCACCACTATATACCCACTATTTAAAAACCCACTCTTTTCTCTCACCTTCATTCGCTGTAATCCACTGGGTACTTGTGTCATTACCACCTTGATTGGGGTGAATTGCTTAAAAAAAAAAAAAAAAAAAAAAAAAGAACGAACTAAAATCTATCGAAATTCTTAGAATCCATATCACGTGACGGTCTACTCTGTATTGACCACTCAATTAAGAATAGTACTTTTCGGTTATTGAATTCCGTATACAACAATCCTATACTTGGGTATATATATGTATACATATATGTATGTCTATCTATCTATCTATCTATCTATCTATCTATCTATCTATCTATCACAAAATCTTTTAACTTTATCATTCAATTTCCTAGTATGTTTGTATATATATATATATATATATATATATATATATATATATATGTGTGTGTGTGTGTGTAAAACGGCATGTTTCATGAAACAAGCCGTAAAACAAAATCTAAAGTGTAAAAAGTAGAAAACAGATCATGTGCTATAAAAAGAGAATTGTAAATGATTTGTTATTAGTTCTAAAACATTTGAATTTGTCTCTTTTAAAAGAAAATAAAGTTTAAACATAACACATTGCAACAGGTTGTACTCAGGCTGCTCAGAAATAAAAAAAAATCTTCACCGATAACTTAAACTATTTGGCAACTTCTCTAAGTCACAGAGAACAAGAATAAACTGTATGTAAAATGATATATTAAAATTTACTTTCTCAGACAGAATACAAATTTCTACAAATATTTCAAATAATAAGAATGTTTAGTATGAGAAGATACAACTAAAAAGTAAATCAGTTTGTACTTTCATGCAAAAAAGTTTTTTTCTAAGAACTGCAGTTTGAAATTTTACCACAGTTACCGAAAGTTTATTAACTTTATTATTTTTTTACTTTGACTAACTAGTAACTAGTAACGCTTCTATAAGTTTGATTACTTCTTTGTGCCCGAAAAATATCCGAAGTTTTGGTAAAGTACCTTGGAAAATAAGAATATCTGCCAATATCTGTTTATCACTTAATCATACAAAGTGGGTAACCCTCTCTCTCAGTCTATTAATAAAAATACAATTTTTTCTTAATCTGTCCTTTGTAACATTGTACTGTTTGTCTGTTTTGTAAAAATTGCAGTTTCTAAATTTAGCACAACAATTTCTAAAAATTGATTGATTGATGTGCAGGTGGTGTAATATTTAAAGTTTCGGGACAAGAAACTGATGAATCGAGTTCGAATTACGGTTTAAGAAGTCGTTATATTGACTTTCGCACAAATATCCATAGGAAAGGCATGAACCCATCTATTCTCTCCTCATCGATGAGTAGGCCAGACTGTCTAGTTGTAGTTGGCAACTGCATATAGGAGAAGAACAACAATGATTTCAAAACCGTATGTGTGTCGCTTGTGAGGCAAAGACAAGAAATATGACCACGGTCCGTTCAGAATAGTTGAAGTAAAATATAAAATTGGCTAGCGTAGATAGATAGATAGATAATGAACAGGTTGAGATAGATAGATAGATAGATAGGCAGATAGATATTAACAGGTTGAGATAGACAGGTAGAAATGAACAGGTTGAGATAGATAGATAGACATAGAAATGCAGAGGTTGATATATATATATATATATATATATAGATATGAATAGAATTAGATATTGATAGTGTGAGATATGAACATAATTAGATAGATATGAATAGAATTAGATATTAATAGTATGAGATATGAACATAATTAGATAGATAGATGGATATATAGATAGATATGAACATAGATATGAATAAAATATAATAGATAGATTTGTACGAATAGAAGATAGATAAACAGATAGATATGAATAGATAGATAGATGAACAGAATTAGATAATTGAAATGATATGAACAGAATTAGATAGATAGATAGATGATATGATAGATATGAATAGATAGATAGAAAGATATGAAGATATGAATTAGATAGATATATAGATAGATAGA